TCCTCAGTGCTTCATAAACCAGCAGCAGTATTTCGATGTGTTTGACACACAGGAAGCCAGTGTAAAGACTTCAGAACTGGACTGATCCACTTTCTTAGTGTTAGTGAGGACTCGAGCGGCAGCGTTCTGAATCAGCTGCAGCTTTCTGATCGATTTGTTGGTAAAGACACCATTACAGTAGTAGAGTCTACTGAAGACACAGTCTGCTGAAACATCCTTTAATCTTATATATTCTTAAGGTGATAGTAAGCTGACTGTGTCATTGTGACTACAATTCAGGTCAGATTCCACGATAGTTAGGTAGCTTCATTTGTTATTTCCATAATCGTAGCCTGTGGAAGCATGAAGCTGTTAAAGGGAAGAGCTTTTGAATAACTGCAGGGCTTCTTACTGCAGACTGTATCTCACCAAGGTGCTTTGTTTGGAGTAGAACAAGTGCAAGAGAAACATTCAGCCAGTCAATGCCAATATGTACATTTGGATTACATCTGTCATTTCATTTTGTATGTTCTCAATGAATATATAGAGAGATGTCAAACTTTATCAAATGTATTGAATGTTCATTTTAGCCCCCCCTTTTGCATCAACAATACTGTATTGAGATATTTTCACAGTTATTGTTTAATTATATGATTTGTATCTCTTTAATGGGTCTGTGGTGGCTTTGGCGCAGTGGTTAGAGCGTTGGTCATCTGATCAAGGAGCGTTGGTGAACTCTGGTTTGAATCCCGCCACGGCCGGCACTGCGTCAGGCCGTTGTGTCCTTGCGCAAAACACTTTACCTGCATTTGCTCCTGTGGGTAATGTCCACAGTAATGACTCTTACATGTAATATGTAATGTGTAATTGTAAAGCGCTTTGAGCACCTGTAAAAGCGCTCTAATAAAAAATGTAATGCATTATTACTATTATTATTATTATTATTATTAATGTCCGGTCTTCATCATGGAAAGTTTGGGTGTTAAATATCTAGTCACCATTTTCATTCATGTTATTAGCACTATGGTTTAAATCACAACAAAAACTAATGTCTTGTACATTCACAACAGTTTCTAACATTGATAAACACAATTAAAAAATTGTATTGTTTTGATATAGAAAGCAAAACGCTAGATTATCTTCATTAACAGTGTTTTTAGTTTTTTAACATGTTTTTTTTAATGCTCTGACCACATAAAAAACACATGATAAAGTTTCCATCCTATTTGGTAGCCAGCCAAAGCCTCAAAAACATGAACACACAGTATACAAACTAAAGTATCTGCATGGCGATATAGCACTAGTGAGAGGAGACAAAGGTTTTTGTGGTTTAGTAGAACTGACCCTGGAGCTGCTATAGATCTCGGTATCCTGGTTGTGACCCAAGAGAAACACGGGTTTGGGACATTTTAGCCATATGTCTGTCTCTTGTTTTACTCGGTACACAATGTGTTTTACCCTGCTCCCGGATGATAAGTTCATAACCTGAAAAATGGTGCCTGTGTGTAAAGGTGTTTCTTTCATCAGGCTATGTGTTCATCACCAACATCCCAGCTGGAGCTTCAGACATTCAGATCATAGAGAGACACAAGACCGAGAACATCCTTGGTAAGAACCTTTAACCTTTAAGGTCAATAAACTGAGTATATATCAACGGAGTGCTTTTACGATGTTAACAATGGTTGCATATTAGCTAAAGGTTAGCTAGCTAAACATTGACTGCAGATTTCACTAACCCTAGCCATAACCCTAACGGGACTTTCCAAAACAAGTTCTTGAAAATGACATCATTGTCTGTGGGTTCTGACCCAGTTCTGAATAGCACTGTTTGATTCCCTTCTATCCAGCTCTGTCAGATGAAGCTGGTAATTTCTTCTTCAACGGAAACACAGTGTTTGACAACCCACAAAACTTCCATGTGGCAGGAACAGTGTTTAAATACCGACGTCCAGGCAATGTGTTCTCTGATGGGCTGGAGTACATCATCGCCCAGGGACCCACACTACAGGGCCTCAATGTTATGGTACACACACACACACACACACACACACACACACACACACACACACACACACACACACACACACACACACACACACACACACACACACACACACGAACGAACGAACGAACGAACGAACGAACGGACACACACACATACACACTTGCACAAGAACATGTGTATCTCGTGCAGGAATGAGTATGAAGTATTTTACCTTTTGATTTTCTCTCTGGTCACAAAGTACTACAACCTGAATGGGAAGCTCCCCCACATCACCTTTGAATATACCACCCCCCGCACACCTCATGACATCAGCGCTGCGGAAATCATCACTACTGGACATGTGAACCTAACTTATAATGGGGTGAACGGGGACATGATAGCGACCAATCACAGCAGATCGTCAACATCTGTCAATCACCAATCAGATGTCCAGCTGCAGGAAGAGGAGGAGGAGGAAATGTGGGAGATCAGGACCCCCAGCACCCCTCCTCCTGCTGCCATCCTGCTGTACAGAGCTGCTGATGTCACCAGTCATGTGTTCAGCCATAATGATGTGGAGGAGCCAGGACCCCCAGGACCCTCTGGATACCGTGAGTCACACATTGTCTTCAGTTCAGCCTTTTATTTTTGTATTGCCTCTGCGCCACAAACAGCCAGGGGCTTCATGTTTCCAGGTCTGATTGTCCCGTTCTTGTGAACGGGACAATCAGAATCTGAATACTTTAATTATATCCCTGGGGAAATTGGAAGTAAAGTAAAAATAAAACTTATTTATAGAAATAAGAAATAAGAAGTAAAGTAAAAAACGTATTGAAGGAGTTTCTTCCACACTTGAACGTGGCCAGATTCATATTTTATTTTATTTTGTAAACACTTTTTTGATATGTTTGTGACCATGCGTTTCTTTTTTAATTGTTGAGTTCAAAGCAAACTCTTTGGCGGACAAACTGTTTCATTCTGTGTACTGCTTACTCTCGATACCTATTGGTTGACATAAGAGCGAAAATGAGGATAAGCGTATATGGTACTACCATCCTGGCCAATGTTTCTTTTAGCTCTAATGCACACCTGGCCAATGACACAGAGAGAGAAATGGAGAGCACATTTTTGACCGATTTGGAAACTTATAGTTAGCCTCCCTCATGCTTTAAGAAACAAATATAGACATTTTTATTCATTGGGATAAACCCCTTGAGATGCACCATCTCGTTTTCAAGGGGGTCCCGACAATAGCAACAACTTACAGACATACATAAACAAAAAGACAAAATGCAAAACATGACACACAATCCCTACCATGGAGTACTCTGGCAGTAACCTGTTCATGTTGAAGTCTGTCTGTTTTGTCTGTCGGACATTATTGTTCTCTAGGTGTTTGATTTATTTATCAGGTCTTTTTTTTCTGTTCATTTAGGAAGTTCCTCCAACTCAATTGACGAGCCCGCCGCTGCAGATGACAACACTCTGGTGCTGCCTTTCCCTGGTAGGAGACACTGATGAAGCTTTTTCTATATATATATATATTACAGGAATACTTGTGGGCCAGCTTAGCCTTAATTAGACCACAAAGTAGACCCTCCAGAAAAACGCGATCCTGCGATCGCAGAATTTACCGCATAATCAGCAAAATGGCGCAGATTTTTAAAAGGACGCATATTTATCAAAAGGCTGCATAATCCCCGCATTTTTCCACACAAAGTTGAGAAAAAAAAAAGTTAACTCGTCTTGACGTGAAGTAGTGATGATGATGATGACGTGACATCATCAGCTCGCGGATCACAGAAGGTAAACAACACCGTAGAGTGAACGTGTGGAACTCACACGACGAACATTTCTGCTAAAGACCGGGCAAAGCAGTACCTCGATGTCTTTCACGAAAGTGGGGGGAAACTATTCTGCACCCCGTGCAACTGTGTGTTGGAGCATACGTCTTAGAGAAAATCGACGGTGACGACCCACTTTGATTCATTCAAACATTCGAAAATGCTTTCTGCTGCTGCGGACAAGAAAGCCAAACAACTCACGTTCACCGAGGCATCAACCTCCAAAACCCTTTCGAGGGTTACAAGAAACGAAGTGAGAGAAGATTGAAGCTGGTCAGATAACGAACGAGTAAATGAAAACAGAATGAGGCGGGGAAGTGTGTGTGCGTGTGTGCGTGTGTGCGTGTGTGCGTGTGTGTGTGCGCGCGTGTGTGCGCGTGCGAGAGTTTGATTAAAATAGCCCCATTGCTTTTACAATAAATAAACATTGAATGTGTTTAATTGAATAGGAAAGGGGTTTAACGTTAGTGGCAGGTTGTGTGTGAGAGAGAATAAATAAGACAGCCCAATATTTAAAAAAAAATCTATTCTTTTTCGCAACTTTCCGCATATTTTGCAACTTCCCGCAATTTCACCGCATAAAATCACATAAAAACCCCGCATGTTTAATCGCATAATCAAGGATTTTAGCCCGCATAATCAAGGATTTTTGCCCGCGTTTTTCTGGAGGGTCTAACAAAGGGACCGCAGGCTGAAATCAAAGCAGAGACTGAGCTCCAGTATAGTAAACACCTTTAGGAAAATACAAAATTAAAACGATGATAACTGAAATATCCTGTTCTGATACAAGGGACACCTTTACTGGAAATATTTTTATATTTTCCATTATACCTTTGACGCTTTTTTATTGAAAGACGTAGAATTCAGCCAAGTAAAGCAAAAATGTCAAAAATAATGACATTAATTAAAGAAAGAAGCAAACATTACAAAATGTAGAAGAACATTTAAATAAAAAAAATTTTTTATAGAATATGATACATCTGAATAATAACCTCCATTTGTGTGTCCTCTCTGTAGCACTGCCAGAAGACGCCCCCTATCTGCTGCTGGAGGACTTGCACTACAACCAGACACACTTACACACACACTCCCTCACTCAGTCAAACACACACTCTGTTGAACACACACTCCCTGGTCCACTCTCACTAGCACAAACAGAAACACATTCAGACATGCTCACAGACACACACTCTGCTACACACACCGAAAGAGAGAGTGGCACACACACTGGGGTCCTGGTACAGCTGCAGCAGGGGCCCTCCGTCCAGGCTGCAAACACTGAGAGGTACGAGCTAACTGCTGTCCGTGCTAATAGATAAGATACAACATGTTATTATAGCTTTTAATAGGTCAATATAAGATAGGAAAGATATTATATCTAATTGTGTAAGTCATTAAGATCAGTCCTTTCTATGATCTTGTATCTTAGTGGCTTTTGTACAAGTTTGCCTGCAGGGTTTCAGAAGTAATTGACATAATAGAAATGATTATATGTCCTGGTGCAATGTTCAAATTGCAGGACACACAATATGTTTTAAAGGCTTTATATGTGTATATACAATTTGTATTTGAATTTCGTGGAGCTGCAGAGATATACTGGCCCACAAATCATATTCTACCTCAAAATGATTGCAATTACTTATTTTTTCCCAATAGTGTGACCCTACTTATGCTCCAGTTGTTTCCCTCACTGTTACATAACTGAATGAACTCACAGCATGATCATTTGGATTGAATCAAGTGTGAATGTGAAAGATGTGCCTGTCTGTGTCCCTGCAGTAATGACTTTGATGTGGGTCTGGAGCCCGACATCAGTCTGGCGGACATGTACCGCTGGAAGGTTTCTGCGTACGCTCCCTGCAGCTCCACCTGCACAACAGGTACACACACTCACAACATGTAACTACACACACACTTATTACGTGTTTTGATAATGCAGATTCAAAAATGTGTTAAAGAAAATATCAGTATTTGATCGGATGGACTGGATATTTTATATTGCACATCAGAAAACAGAGACAGAGCCCAGTTTAAACATTATTCTTAATACATGATCATTTAATTTACAGGTAACCATGGATATACTTCACATTGCATTACTCTCTGCAGTGAAAGGGATGACTAATGTCATCTGTGTGCTTTTGTTTTATTGTGTTTTTAGCACTTCTTAACACGTGGCGTTTGTGGTCATTTATTATTTTATGATTCTTATGATGTTTTAATGTTTTGTCAAGCACTTTGTGACTTTGTCTCTGAAAAGCACTTTGTTAATCAATTTGACTTACTTCATGTGAACGGGGAAAGATTCTGCCTATGGTTAATATTATTATTTTGGGTTTCTACTAAAATGTTTTACCAAGCTTTAGTTGAATCAGCTATAGATAAAGTACATGTAAACAGTGTAGCTCCTTGAATGTGTAAACAGTCTGTGTGTGTATATTTCTAGGTATAACCACCAGTTATGCCCTGTGTGTGCGGTATGATGGCAGTGAGGTGGACGACACTTACTGTGACTCTCTGACCAGACCTGAGCCAACACATGAGTTCTGCACTGGGAAGGAGTGTCCTCCAAGGTACCGTCTGTATGTCTGTCTGTCTGTCTGTCTGTCTGTCTGTCTGTCTGTCTGTCCTTAGACCTGGAGACGTTATCTACTTTCTTTATGTAATCTTAATTTATTCAAGTAGTCTGATTTAGATATCAACTTTGTTCAGCATGATAAAAGAAAAAGAAACATTTGCAAGAACAGAAACAACATTTATACACGATAACTATCAAAAGCGAGTACAAAACATTAGATCGTGTTCATGTGTTACTTGTTACTGGATGATGTAATGTAGCTACTTGATTCAAAATATAGATAACATGTAGGATAGTTTGGAGATTTATAAAACAATAAAATGACATGGCTATTTATTTATTGAATCGTTTATTTGGCAGGAACAATGCACAGTAATGAACACTTAAAACATAAAAAGGTAACAGTGCCAGATTTAGATTTAGCTTTGAGCTCATTTCCATCCGCAGTCCCTCACATAAAACATTTAAGAAGATTACATTTTACAAACATAGTAAAAACAGAATACATGATATGCAAAAAGTGCAAAAGAGCAAGAGCAGCATAAACAAAGTATTTATGACATGGTAATACAATATAGCAGCAACGACATGTAAAGTGCCAGAGAAGATGCAGGAGCTACCTAAAGTGCAAGGGGAGATACCCCTGTATTAAAGTGCATTTAGCACAAGGTCTTCATGCCATGTAAACATTTATAAAAAAAACACATAATTTTAAAAGACTTAAAATTGTCAAAACTTAAGAAATTGTGTTTCTCAAGGATGGCACAGTGGTGGTATGAATGTGGCTTTCTGTCAAACACCTTGATAGCTCTCTTGTACAGCTGTTCTATGGGTTTCAGGTCTTTGGCACAATCAAACGACCAGTTTGTCAAACAGTATTCAATGTGGGATAGAATCATACAGTGGAGCAGTGGCGGATTTAGGATTGTAGGAGATCCGGGGCTTAGCCCAGGAGTTGTTGGGGGGTGCAGGGGTAAANTAGTCCGTTGTTACTGTTTGAACTAACGTAGCAACGGCAGGAACTGCTTCGCAACGATGTTTTCAAATCTGTAATAAAAAATCTCCTCAAAAACACTATCGAAGCAGTTCCTGCCGTTGCTACGTTAGTTCAAACAGTAACAACGGACTATTTTTCTTAGCGGATGCATGTCAATTTAAATAATTACAACTATTTTTTAAATCAATAAAATCATTTTCTAAATCCATAAAAGCATTTAAATTAATATTGGGAGTCATGTCGTTACTTTGTTGAGAATGTGGCCTTGTAATAAGCGGGATAATGTGCACATTGCACATTGCATAATGTGCCTTCATGCCGATCTAGATCCCTCCGCCGAAAAAAAACCGGCTAGTTCGTGGGCGCGAGCCGGCTCCTGTCGTTCACTTAAAAGAGCGTTCGCGACCGACACATCACTAATGCAGACACAGACAGAGGCAAGTAGCAGCGCTGAGCGGCAGAGCCATACATGTGTTTCGAAGGTAAATCAGTTGAAAGCCGAAGTTGCAAAAACGCCACGATCATATGATCCAATTCTATCAGTTTCCCAGTTACACAGGGACGCGGAAGTCAGTCAGAGTTGGGGGTGCGTGCAACGTCTCGCAGCGGAGTAACTGTGGTGCGGAATATTTCACTGAGTGGAGCCTCGCTAGTTTTTCAGGTTGATATGTGAAGCTCATTAGCTAGCCAACATGTATCCAGCAAATATTTAGCAAAATATTAGAAGTGAGGCTACTAGACTAACGTTAGGTCTACTGTAATAGCCTCACTTTTAATATTTTGCAAAACATTAGCTAGCACTAGTGTTTTACAGTTGCTAGCAGCTTATTGGGATTTTATGCTAGATAGACAGGCATTGTTTTGATATAATAAATTAAGCATTATTGTTAGTTAATCCTGCAGCCCCACTTTTAACTCTATGTCTCTCTCTAACTCATTGCAGATGGCTGCACTAACGAAAAGGGCACAGAGAGGAAACCAGTTGTAAGATGTTTAAAAGTTCATTAAACATAATATATGCTTAAATGCATTTCAAAGAGGTTGTGTTGGAGTTTGTGTTATTCTACATTTTGACACCAAGATTTTCTGATTTTACTGCAAATGTATATCGGTTCCAAATATCGGTTATCGGTCTCCTTGATTACTAATAATCGGTATCGGCCTAGAAAAAGCCATATCGGTCGATCCCTAATTTAGAGGATTCACTCATCCAGCCAATAATCATTTGCTATAATGAGTGTAAAGACTACATCATTCATAGTAGTAATTCAGACAGAAAAATAAAATCCCATCTTTTCCATGTTGGGTTACCTGACATTTCCCCTCTATACAGACTCCGTGGTATTTGGTATCGCGGCAGAATGTACCATCATGTGCAGGAACTAGCAGCTGTCGCTCACCACTCATGGTGGTACACTGCAGGTCACATGGCTTATTGGAGATGCTGATGTAGTCAGCTACACAGGAAATTGAATATTAAAAAATATATTTATTTGAGTGATGTCACATTACAAAGAGACTAACAGATTGAAGTGTACCCGGGTAGAGAGGGATCCACTGGTAGCATCTTCTTCCAAAGGCTTTAGAATTGAATTGGGAACACTGGTGCTGTTTGAAGCTTACACTGGGGCTGGGACAGGGCTGAACACACAACAAAACACACATCAACATATAGGAAATACACCTGCAGCATAATGTTTGTTCTACAGTGAGTGTTTCAATAAAGAATGAATTTATTCATTCTTTATTGAGACACTCACCCAGTATCTAAATCAGTGTAGAGCCATACCTGGTGTGGACAGAGTTGGTACTGTTTAGGAGACCCGACACAGTATGAACTGTTTATGTTCTGGGTGGTGGACAGCCTGAGGCACAGACACAATGTCATGAACATACTGTATTACATGGACACACACAAGATGCATACAAAATGAGAGTAAATGGACATCCAACACTGTTATCCCAGCATCATCAGAGGGGGATGATGGCCTAGTGTAGCAGGAGTATTCAACAACAACTTCAGTTACTGTTGAATGGTTATTCCTTTATAATCAAACGCGGAAGAATTTAAGAAAGAATGTTTCTCAAATGGTTTCTTCATTCATTGGTAGGATGAATGAAAGGGGCCTTTTATGTTCATTTTCTGGATTATATTTCTACTGCCTGTGCTGCAGCACCTCTTTTCACCCTCTGTCTGAAACCAGAGCCCAGCATGCTCTGATTGGTTAACTAGCCGGCTCTGTTGTGATTGGCCAACTGATTAAAGATGTCGGAAAAGTCCAACCTACTAGCCTATAGTTACAATGTGTTGAAGCGCTAGCCAATATAATCGTGAGTGTTACATAGAGATGTTACTATGTTACAGAAGTAAACAAAGGAGTCCAATGGAGGCGTTTCAGGCAGGGGGGCGGGGGGCAGTGTGGCAGACAAACTGCCTCTGGAGGGAACACAGGGACTTTAAACTTTGCAGACCATTTACATGCACAACACCTATAGAACGCACTACAGGAGAGGGAAAAGCCCCCAAAGAGCACAATTGGGCCTCTTTGAATGACTCGTCGGCGTGTTACATTCTGAATGGTCAAAGTTGGGTAAATGTCATTTGAGCTATAACTAATGTGATTCCATTTGTATGTGTAGTGGTTGTAAGTCAGAGGAAACATGACACACGATCAACATAAGCTGACTCTGAAGAACAGTAACAACTTGAATGTGTTTTTGATAGTAAAGGAGTCATGATCTTATTATTCTCTTCATGCTAGATGAAGGAACACATCCAAAGGGTCTCAGGACTTTCAAAATATAGCAACATTTCGCAACTTGTAACATGTGTCTAACAGTGCTGTAGTTTATAGTTAACATGAACAAGTAATGAAGGACAGATAGGGCCCAATGTATCTGTCTCCCATTACCATGCATGCACTGCACCCCCCACACACCTCCTTTGTCTATCTATCCGTGTCTTTCTTTCTTCAGCCCATTCTTCTACGCTGTTTAGGCACTAAAGTAGGAGAGACTACAGGAAGAGGTGAGCTGGAGGTCACTATGTGAGAGTGTCTAATTGGTAGAAGGTGATGAGGGTAAGACAGGAGAGGAAGAGGAGGGAGAAAAAAGGCGAAAAGGGGAGGAAATGAAGGACAAAGATGAGAAGAGTGTGGGAAAAAGAGGTGAAGAGGAAAGAAAAAGAGTAAAAAATAGAAGGAGTAGAAAGAGGGGCAAACGTGAGAGAAGGAGAAGAACAAAGAGAGGAGGAAGAAAGGGGGAGGAGGGGGAAGAAGGCCAGCAGTGAGGGCAGGGTGGCGTTAATCTTGGTTGACAGACATTTCCGCAAGTCTGACAGGGAGAGGTCAAAGGTAACAAGATGGCTACAAACACACATTCTATCAACGCTCTACCTAACTTCCCTCTGCCATGTCTCGACTCACTCTCCCCCATGTGTTATTGCTGTGTGCATTTCTTTACATATTTTTCCTCTGGATCTATACATACATTGTTTGTACAAGACACATAATTAAAAAGCCAAATTAGCATCAAATGGGGTCTTATATTCTGAAGATTTGGGCTCTGATTTCCTGACAGCTGCCTAAACTCCATTGCAATACAAACCAGTGGTTGTCCACTTACGCTTGTTTGGTACTCTCCTGGCTCCAAACAAACCCACTTGTGCTCTGATGCGGGATTGGTGCAGTTTAGGGTCTGTTTATTCAAAAGCATGGTGTTATTTGTGCGGTTGTATATTTCGATCTGCTTCACTGGCATTAGATGTGCTCTCAGAAATCACAAAATAATGACCCTATAAATATGTTGAGTTGGTCTTTTCCAGTTGGCTATACACAATGTTCTGCTGAAAACAAGCACGTTTCAAAGTAGAGTTTGATACAGGCTGATTCCGATCAATTATGTTGTTTCTCTCCCACTCCCCCTCCCCTGCCCCAAAACCATATCTGTATACCCTCGTACAGTACACCCTTTTAATCGCTTGAATAAAACAAAAACAGATAGTAAGAGAAGAAAAATGTCGCCTTTTAACAACATTACAGTCATAAACTCAACATTAACTCTACAGCTGACAGTAAATAGGGGCTGATATTTTATCTAGCACGATGTACAGCTTCTGGTCTGTTTGCTACTTTTGATGGGACTGAGTGAAAGGTTACAGAAGTTCAGCCCATCTCCACCTTTTACTTTATGCTTACTTCTTATATTTCCTCCAAGCTGTGCCTGGTTTGAACTGCCACAGGTGCTTGAATTGATTGCTCACGTTCACATGCGTTTGCACACTGAGACTGTGCTGTGTTTTTAGCTTGCACTTAGTTTGGCCCTTAGTGCACACAACATAGAAGTAATAATCCCTCTATAAAAGTGTGTATTCATTTTTTGGACATACTACCTCTGTATGAGACAGTGTCTATCCTGACTCCTCACTCCTCCTCCACAGCTCCTAGAACAGGAGGACCAACTGGACCACTCTCCCCACCACTGAAACACCTCCTCCTGCCACAAAATATACAAAACAGTGAGAAACAACAGTTACTGCCTGATGTTTGTATGCCTCCGCCAACCTGTCCTGTTGCAGTTTACATACATGTCTGTCCAAAAAGACGTTTTATCCTAATAGACATTTGGGAGAGATTGTGATAATTAACATATATATTTTTAAGTTATGGCCAAAAAACGTTTTGTGAGGTCACAGCGACATTCAACATTAAAATCAGATTCCAATCCGTCGTTAAGTCCGTGTGGATGTGTGCAACACATTTGAAGAAATTCCCTTCAGGAATTCAGTGTCACTGGATTGCATGAAGCACCCAGTCGTTGTTATTAAAGACCAGCACATCTCCACTCTCATTCAGTGTCACAATGATGAGCACTGAGGAAGAAATCCCCTGCTTTCAAGACAACATTTGAAAGCAGGGGATTTGTTGTGGGAAGCTTGGTAAACAAACAAATTGTAGATTTGTCTAAAGAAAGAATTCAACATTCTCCCACCATTGACAAAGTGGATGTTGACAACATTGGTCATTTTGAAACCAAAGCACAGTCTATGGAGCAGTGGATACCAGGGTTGGGGTCGAGTGTTTTTTTTTGCTTTTTTTTGTTGGAACAGAATGAAATGACTGAAAGTGCTGAAGTGTCAGCCATTATAAAAGCTGTTTGAATTAGATGATAGGAAGTACCATATTTACCAAAGGGAAGGAGGTAATGCTGTACGACAGTACCGCAGCCCCAACATTTAAAATGACTCACAAAGTGACAAACAGATCATGGAAGTTGCGCTGCTTCTTATGCCATAGATTCCAGAGTATTTATATGTTTTGGAACTTTCAACAATATATTAAACCAAAAGTGGAAATATGAACGTCATGCCAATTACTGTCAAATGGTCGATGAAGTTAAAATGTCACTGTTTACTGACTTGGATGGGCTTATTTCCACATGTTAGAATGGCGATATGCACAGCACACACGGTTATCCATATAAGATATCCATATATTGGTTTAATATTATTTATTTAAATAATTTCATACAATCATTCTAATAAGGATTTTTGTTGATAAATACGAGGGGAAAGGAGGGTGAGTAACCATTTCCTTTAACTTTCCATTTATTATTTTATGTCAAACTTTGGTAATTAAGTTATATATATTTCACTGTTTTACACTTTTATATGAAACTACACAATTAGAATGCACAGGGCAAAGTATCCAGATGCGCAATTACTAGTCCATCAGAGGAGAAAAGATATTTCAACACGGCAGATGCATTTCAATAACAACAGCTAGCGCATCATTATTACGTCTCCCAGTGTCCGTGGAGTCTCTTTTCCTAAGTCCTGATGAATCCTCTTACACATCTTCCCTTAGCCCAAAGAAGTTTTTCACAGAGGTTTAGGAAAATAGTTTAGGAAAAGACAAAGCGTCTGAGTATCACACATCGGATCAGACAACCAAAGCAAATTTGTGGGAGCAGAATGTTAATTGAGAGAAGTTCTATCGGCTTTTAACCGAATATAAACTCATTACTTCAGTCTGTAGTGACATGGAGCTTCAACACGCTGCATCACATCATGGGAAAGAATCATTCACAACTCAGAAAGGCGCTGAACTTCATCAACAGAAGGTGGATGATGAAAGATTGTAAACTCATGTGGGAAGTGGAAGCCTTGTGGAATGACAGTCCAATAACAAAAACACGAGCAGGACAAGAGAAGCATTGTCACAGAGGGATCCTGGTGTATGGGCTATATGTAGTGTGTGTTAAGTTACAGGTATGTCAATATTGCTGTTAATACTTCACCTGTGCACCCCCGGGTAATCCCAGTGGTCACATTACGTAGTTTACATAGAGTAAGTGGTGAACAGCTGGGGGGAATTAGGAACATGGATGTTTTTTACCGACTGGGTATGTGCATCTGTGTGCTGATTATTGGTTGTACGATATTTTGACAAGCTTGTTTCTTTGTATCCATTCAGTGCATCAAGTTTTTTATATTAGTCAGCCTATATGGCCTAACATTACAGTCACACAAACTTTACATCACACCTTTCTTAGAAGAGGAAACAGATTTGTTGTGAGTGCGTGAGTGTTATTACCTTGTTGCCCGTCTTTTTGACATGCTGACTTCCAGAGCTGTGTGACTGCAGATGGGTGTTACGTTGCTCCACCCTCCCTTCACTTCTGTCCTGGCAGACACACAACACATACACACGCATATACAGTACATGATCATAGAACATACATACCCTGTGACCCCACATGTATCAGTTAGCTAGCTGCAGTTATTTTACCTGTTGTCCTTTTCATGTAAGCTCAGCCGTAATACATTCTACGTGGGCCAAATTACGGAAAGGTAAAGCTGCGGCTTGATAGAACCATTCATTTTCAACACGGTGAGAAGAAGAAACTTTCACTTTTTCTATGTGATAATCTCATGAATAAATAGCATAGGCCTCCTATTTCTTCTACTTTTCTTACAGAAATGTGAAAGACAGACCTGGCCAATCAATATAACTGAATTTAGTAAGGTGTAGGTTATTGATCACAGACATACATTTATTATTCCTTTTAACCATTTTCACCTAGATAAATGTTCAATACTTACTAGTATCTTAATATAGTTACAGCTACATTCAAAATGTATAATCAGATTACTGGCACATTTAAAAAAAGATTAGGATAACTATTATTATAGGTATAGTATCTGAATTTAGTTTTTGGTTTCATTTTGACTTTCATTCTTCTTTATTTTAAAAACCTTTATTTAAATACAGAAGGTAAACAGCTTATGTATTCAACTAAAATACTGAATTTGACTTTAATTTAATCTGAACACTTTTGATCCTAAATATCTTGGTTTCTCCTTTTCTACGGACAAGTTGATCTGTTGTCTCACATAATACACTCAAGAAAGAAACATCTTATTGATATTTATTTTCTCTTGTATTTATTTGCATTTCAACTTGATAGGGTATTCCAAAATTAACGTAAAGTAATCAGGTTACATTACTTTAATATTTTGATACTCAGATTAGGTTACTGATAAAAGAATGTTTCAAGGTAACTATATAGGAACAAAATGAGTAACCCTTTCAACCCTTCACAAAGGTTGGGCTCTTTACAACTATCTGTATACCCAGGGTCAAATGTAGTCTGTAATGGTAAATTCTCAATTGAGCAAGTATTGATTTGGTTTGCTGTGTATCAGAAGGATGTGACACATTCCAAGTCCAGTCTCAGTAACACACACACACACACACACACACACACACACACACACACACACACACACACACACACACACACACACACACACACACACACACACACACACACACACACACACACACACAATCTGTGTTGTCTAAACAGGGCCCTAAACAAGCCCTCACAGGCTCCTTCTCTCTGGCCAATTCAACATAGAAACACACAAATGAAGCATTTTGGAGCTAAATACACAGTAATAGTTGCTCGCTATTACTATTATGGCGATAAAAGTGTCTGACATGGAAAAAAGACACAACTTAATGTTTGGTAGGGTGACACAGACGCATTCTAATGGTTCAGTGACTTCATTATACATATTCCAAGTGTAGAGAGTTTTTTCAATTGAAAACATCTTTGTAAAAAATATGTACAAAGAGCATGGTTAACATCTTCCTGAGCAAGGTTTTGGGTGTTGAGATCGATTTAAGATGTGGGGAAGTAGAATGGCTCAAAACACTCTTATATGATAATAACCTTTAATCAGTGGGTAAAGTTAATAATTAGATGTACTCAGGTACTGTACTTAAGTGCGAGTTTGAGGAACTTGTACTTGAGTATTTCATTTGTCAACATCACTGAAAAAAGACTTCAGTTACAACATTTACAAGCTACCCTGCAGTATACAAAGTAATTCAAACTAGATGCACTTTTACCAAGACATTAATGCATTAATAATTGTAAACAGCATTCGCACTGAGTACTTTTACTGTTGGTACTTTAATTATATTTTGGTGCTTATACTTTTATCCTTTTACTTGAATCTTTGAATAAGGGAATTCTACTTGTCAGAGAGTATTACAATCTCATCTTTTACTTAAGAACAAGTTTTAAAACAGCTTTCTCCTGCTGGAATAGGTTACAGTGCTGACCTACACTGCTGGACAGCCTTTCATGTTAACATTTATGGTAGAAATCAACTTAGAAATGGCCATTTATAGCATGGTTTATGACTTAACTATCCACAACGTTGCAAATTTCAAACAGAAAATGTTAATTCCAAGGGCTGGGTTTTTAACAAGTAGAAAATATGAGCATACATCATTATATAGTACATTACCCAATAAACCTTTGAGTGCACACAGCTGTTACCTGCAGAGTGAGCATGCGGTTGAACCATCAAATCCTCTTTACACAATACATTCAAACCTTTAAATAAAAGCGTTACCTCACTGTGGCGATGGTGCATTATGTTTGTGTGTAAGTATTTGCAAAACAACATATTTGCCAACAATTATATTTTAGATGTCCTGCCAGTGGTTGTAAGCTTTACTTTTCAACTGTTGCCATCCATTTTGTGTGTAGTCAATTGTTTGTTTACACGAAGACCTCTTAAACTACAGTATTTATTTTTCTTTAATTGGCAAGTATTCAAATACTGGATGACAAAGGCGGTGCTTAACAGACAAACAATAAATTAATGTTCGGTTCCGTCATGTGCACAACTCGTGTTTATGTGTGAGAAGAAGGATTGCTAATAAAAATCGTCTGCAAACAATTGTTGTCTCCGTTACTCTCATGCAGTCAAACTGTGTGAGCCTTTTGGTCAGGCAGAGGATCAATGGTGCTTATTTAGTAACGTGTTGTAAAGTGCTGCCAAATGGTAAGTCAGTGATGTTATTTTCCTCTAATGTTTATTCAGAGTCGATCCTGCAGTCTACGAGAATGGTTCACATATTTGCTTCTTACACTAAATGTTCATATCACTAGATACTTTGACACTAGAATAAATAAAATTTTATTATGAAACCATGTAAGATTTATGTAGTAGGAAATATTGCGTTTCGCAGTAAATTAATGTTAGATGCACGCCGGATGAGTAATGGATTAACTGTAACAGGATTACGAAAACCTGATGCAAATACATCAAACATAAACATGACTGTATTCATTTACAGTTACATTTTAAAAAGACGTATTCAGATTACTGTCACATTTCTAAATATTTGGGATAACTAGAGAGAGTTACTCAAAGCTAAACAGAGCATATAGTGTTTTTTGTAAAGGATCAGATGTTCTCTCTTCTCTGTAAACTGTACTGTTTTGTAGGGTAATACTCTAAGAGTGAATCTATATTTCTACTCCCTGAATATGCTTTATGGTTTTCACTTTCTTTGCTTCATTTGTTCTGTTTTAATTCAGCAGGTGAACCTATTTGTTCATAAAATAGTGTGTGAGCTTAACTGTGTGTATTAAACTAAAACTGAGCATTTTCTGTCAGCTCAGATTGTATTTCTGCTTTTTTAAACTGTAGGATGTGCTCATGTGTTTCGGTGTTGGTGTATAGGCTGCTGCCTGAATATGCTGAGTGAAAGACAGGTTTCCCTATCAATAAAATCATTTCTGATCCTAAATATCTTGGTTTCTTCTTTTCTAAGGTCACATTGTTCTGTTGTCTTACATAATACACAGAAGTAAAACACATTGAATTTATCTGCATTGCATTTGATATTGATGCAATCCAAAAGTAATCAGGTTAAATTACTTGCATTTGTTTTTACAGGTAACTATAGTAGTAATAGAAATTCATTTTTAAAGTAACCCACCTAATCATGTTTAGAGGTAACTTAGTAACCATATGTATATCTTTGCAGATAAGATAGACAAAAGAAGACACAAATAACACATTTTATAATCAACCTGTTATTAACATGATTACATAAGTAATTATCTTTCGAAGACATGCAGAGTTGCATGCATTGTTTCTGTCAAACCCAAAGAATGAAGCGGTATTGTGAACAAAGCTTCTGTTTTTAGCTACAGCACCATAAACAGACAGCCCAGTTGAATTGGGGGAAGAATGACAGTCAAAACATGGACCCCCCAACTCAGAAAGTATTTATACAGTTTGGCGTAGCCACATGAAATAAAAGTAATGTGAAAGGTCATGTTTATTTCGCGTGAAGGCTACGCCAAATCCCATTTATATATGGAAAATGCATTGATTACTATTTTCTACATTACACCCATATTAGACATTAATACACCATGTTACACCACCATTACACCCTTATTTTACCCATGTCACAGCCATGTGACAGTGTTATTAGTCATAAAAGAGTCAAAGTATTTTCCAAAAAGTCAGTCAGAAGAACGTTGTTTGTGTTTACAACAGTAAAATGCTATTTGATGCAACCATACTATCTATAATTATATAAATATAATTATATACAGACATGAAGGCCATTTTTCTGCACAATGATTACTTTTAGTTTACATTTTACAACTACATTTAGCTGATAATGCTTTTACTTACAGGTAAAAAGTAAGATTTTGTAAGATTTTGAATGCAGAACTTTTACTTGTAATGAAGTATTTTGGCAATAATGTAATGGTGCTTCTACTCAAGTAAAGCATCTGAATACTTCCTCCACCTCTGCCTTCAAGATGTAATGAAACCACAGCTCGCACAGTCCTTGCTGCTCATTCCCTGCTGCTGCATGACTCCAGCATCCCAGCAGCGTTCGTACTAGAAACTTTTCTAGGAGCTTCGCCGAAGGGAACCGTGACATTCCCGCATTTGGGAACAGTTAGCCTGCCTTCACATACACAATGACACTTATATGTTTTTCGAAGTTTATCTCAGGCATTATTGTTACTGTGTTAATTAAATATGAGATGAATGGAATTACTTCACAGTTAAAACTACACAGTGCCCTTGACAATAAGCAAGACAGAATCAAAGTGACAGACTGAGATTAACTAGCAAACTCCCCAGTCCCCCTTTATAAGGTTTTTGCAAATGGACACCGTTTCAAAGGGGGGAACAAACAGCTCTTATTTACCTTAACGGGCCAGTTGCTGGTGAGCGGGAGAACCGGGAGGTGTAGTAGGAGAAAGGAGCAAACCGGGAGAGCTAAGCCTCCGTTACCGAACATGGTTCATTCATGTCATGGAGCGACTACAGTACCCCTCCCCTTACCTCCGCTCGCCTCCAGTCCTCACTCCTCTCATTCTCCACTCCTTCCTCCTCCCCCTTTGATGTAGCCACGCCCTCGGGTCGGAATCACTCGCGCCTGTGATACGCACGCGCCACACTACACTCCTACTTCGGCTTTACTCCGACATCCACATTGGGTGTGGACTGTTTGGGAGCTGTTTTGTGAGTTTGTGTTCTTAACTTATTACGTTTTTCTAGTTGTGTAACAGTCTAGGACTCATAAGACATGAGATGCTGTATAGGCCATAAGGCCAACCTTATTAAGCACAAATGAATTCACTTAAAGAAATACGAAAAAGTAATGTGATTTACATATAGGCTATGCAAAGGTTTTTCTATTTGATCTTTATTTTAAACTGTGGTATGATTTCCAAAGCGTGTATCGATTTTTGATTTCAGATTTTTATTGTCATCTTTTTAAAATATATATAGCCTATAGAGTGCCACAGTGACGCGTTCTAAAACCCGGAAGTAAACTTCTTCCGGTTCCTTCGACAAAACGAATTTCAAAAATATCAACTCTATCAACTTATTTTAATCTGTTTTTATGAGCCAATTCATTCAATTAAGTGCTATTTTACCTCTATATTATGTTCGCTACTCAGAACTGCAGAACCTATGTTAGCTTTCATCAAACTCGACAAGACCCCAGTTTTATCGACTCGCTAACTTATTATGCAAATAATAGCCTATATGTTGTTTACATTTTGTTAATTGTGGGCTGGCCCAAGCAAAGTACACTGACTTCAATTATATATGTTAATCTGTATATTAATATTGTATTCATCTCGGTATACATTGCAAATGTACTGTTCTATTTTCATTATTTGTTTATTTTATATTGCTTATACATAGATATTTGCTGTTTAGGATTATTTTGTAATTTAATAAAATTGTATTCCATGACAACGAGCAGCTCGTTAAGGCTTAGAGTGCGTGATTTCACAGCTAGAGTGGAGGAGAGCTTGAAATTCGCCTTAAATTATTTTTTAAAACTGCCATAATTCCCAAACCTGACACTCCTTGGACATCATTTTTTGTGAAAAACGTAGGAAAACCTCTCCTACCTTGAAAAATTAAAAAAATTAAGAAATTAAACAAAATGCCTCCTGAGGGCATGAAGTGACAAAAACGTTCAACATGTCTCCATTAAGGCCCATTGTAAATCAAGCCTGATCTATCCTCAGAGCAGCAGCTGTACACCTTTAGTAAATCTGCCAAAAATGCAACATTGTGGACCCGAAAGTGCACACAAAGCAGATTCCGACGCTCCTCGCGGTCCTGACACCCTCCACGCCTTGACATTTTACGAAAGCAGCTACCGTTTTTAAACTATAGTTAGAAATGTAAGAGGTTTATTTCTCATTCAGAACAATGGAAAGGCTCTCCTTTCACAGCACATCTCCATGGAAACCTTTGATCTCTGGGCTCACACACAGGTGTTTGATATTGTCGTCACCATGGTAACCTTTGATCTCTGTGCTCACACACAGGTGTTTGATAACGTTGTCACCTCAAACACAAACAAACAGACTGGAGTTTAAAGACTGTCTCAGGCTATTATTTTATCAGTCTAATGGAGACTTCATACTGACTTCAACACGTTCCACATAATTTATACATTATTGGTGACGTTTGGTTTTAGTTCAAAAGTTTGCAGTTAAAATATTCTGCTGCTTTTCAAAGCGTCTTTGTGTCATTCTACAGAAAAGGTGGAATCTGGATGATACAAATCTGATGAAATATATTCCTTCTAAACACATCTAAAACCTGTTAAATAGCAATAACTAACTTGATGAATCCACAACAAGTAGAGCTTAAAGTATTTTTATTATTTTTATACATGATACAAAGCTTATTTATATAGGAACGTCACTGGTGTTACGTGTTACCAGGAAGAAGAGTAACACCAGTGACAATTTGGACAAAACACTAACAAAATTGCTGCCATGTGTCAGACCAAATATGGCTTCAGTCAAAATAAAAATCGTTTAACTCTTCAATACAATACATTTTCCCATTCAAATGTTCACCCCTAGGGCTATGAAATGAGTAACACTAATGACAGACTTGAAAGATGCACGTCAAATTTGAAGATAACATGACACCATTAACAAACAAAGTAAGAAGTATCTGACTTTCCTTATGTCTTTGTCCACTGCACTGCCTCAAATGATCTCTTGTTACAGAAGGCACTTCAGAGACAGTACATTACTTCAAAAATAAAAGCATTTTGTGTAGCAGTAACACCAATGACGTAATTTTGGGTGACTGACATTTATTGGATATTATTAATAATAATTTGCGTTTTTTTTTTTTACCGTTTCATTGTTATATTTAATGTATGTAATGTTATGTAAATATGAATGAGATTTATTTATTTAAAAAAAATATTTTAAATGAAAACTCTCGGCCCCACTTCCATGTATGATCAAAGTGACAAGGCAGTTCCTTGGACTTGGCATTTTAAGACTGCCAAGGCACAC